GCCCAGCCATGTGTGGGCCCTCGTGGGGGCGTGTGGTACTGCTGTATGATGTGGATTATGGTGTGGCGTGTGGTCTGCGTGGTGTGTGTGAACGCATTCAAACTTTGACAGGCCATAGACACATGTATATGGTCGCCAAATCTCGGCGAAAATGGCAAAATTTTCAAACATTTGCGGATAAAGATTTTGTTTCACTTTTTATGGGAGAAAATCTTCGGCAAGATCTTCCCAAACATTTTGAAGTGAGGTATAAGTCGCTCGTTTGACAAAATGTTTGACAAACATTTTGAAATGGGGCAGGGCGCGAAAATCTTTCCCAAGAGCGACGAGATTAGTGGCCGACCGCCCCTTCCGTCCTAAACACCAACCACTGCGCAGCGCACACTCAACGTAGCAAGCTCATAGAGGGATGCGGACAACCCTAGAGTCACCGTGTCAACGTTTTGCCGGCTGATACATGGCGGGAGCTCGTCAACCGTGCACAAAAAGACAAACGGACAGGGGTGATTTGGAGGGCAAGGAGAAAACGTTGTGTGTGTCTCCGAACGCCAAAAAGTCGGCTGTTCGAGAGGAGACGTGAGTACAAAACTATTCAGCTCTCGTCCTCTAGACCATCGATTCATGGTTTGTCTTCGTGGGTATCTTCTCCAACAACGGCTCTCATCTGGGAGTGCGTGGTTCAGCAGTGGACGTATTCAACAGGCAAGGAGGCGCGTCGCTGTGAACTCGATGTGTTGACAGAAGTCTTTTTTTGGGACGGAGGAACAAGCCCTCTATATTCAAGTGAAAAAATAGACCGAAAAAATCGTTGTGTCCACAACGTTTGTGCGCACAACGATGTGCCTCCCTGCCGACTGAGCACGGCCACTGCCAACCCACGCGCAACCGGATGAGAGTCGTTGATGGACAAGACACCGAAGAAGACAAAACATGAATCGATGGTCTAACGGGCGAGAGCTGGATTTGTTGTACTCACGTGTCCTCTCAAGCGGCCGACTTTTCGCCGTTGGGAAGCGCTGACGCACGTTTGGTCTATTTTTGACACCGAGAACATTTTTTCTTGCACGCCCGGAGCTCTATCGCCACATATGGGGCACAGCATGAGCTCAGTGCATCAAGGGGTGTGGGGAGCCCTTTGCGAGCTCGTTACATTCAGTTTCCATGACGCATTTGTGGTTCGTCTGTCACAAATAGTTTGGTAGCAGTAGGTCACGCTTCCCGCCGCACTCCTGATGCATTCCGAGAAAACCACACAAGATATTTTTGCGCATAAAAAAGCGGTACTCGAATCTTCCTCTGGCAGACATTCGCGCGCAAATGTTTGACAACATTTGAAGATTAATGTGCAGCAGTTTGAAACCCTAAACACGGGCCATATCTCGCCACAAAAATACTTGGAAAAAAGAAAAGAGTTATCCTGGGTGCAGGTCCAATTCGTCCGAATCCGTTGAGTTTTTCGAATTCTATCCGGTCATTCCCCCCCGAAAAACAGTTCCCTGAGCTCGCCAGGAATGAGCTTTTCTGCCCATTTCTCCGTTTTTATCAGCGAAAGAAACATTGAGTTGAGCCCGCCTTATCTCCTCGACGTGCTAAGCTCGAAACCGGTCTACAATGAAAATCCGACCTCTGTGGAGAACACCTTCACAAAGGTTGAAACTCCCCAACGTCTGTCGAGGACGATACCCTCTTTTCCACAATGGCGTCGACAAGAGCTGTTAGGTGTCTGCTGTTGGTTGCAAAAGACACGGGTTCAAAACCCGCTGCTCACCTATTTTTCTTCCGGAGTACGGAAAAGAAAAACGGTGGGTGGGCCGAGAAACGATGCACTACTGTCTATCGAACTCGAAACTTCTGGCAATGCGTGGCGGAAGTGGCGCACCCGCAACACGCACAGAAGATCGTTGGAAAAAAGATGGTTCTACTCGCCGCCAGCCGGTCGGGTTCCGGTTACCCCAAGAAGACTTCTCTTGCCTAGCAAACAAGAAGAAGCCTCGAAAAAGGGGGGGGTAATGTGGAGAACACCTTCATAAAGGTTGAAACTCCCCAACGTCTGTCGAGGACGGAACCCTCTTTTTCCACACCTCACAGTCGACCAAATACAACTGTTCAAAATCTTAGAAAATCTCGACGAAATCGGGATTTTCTCGTCACAACAGAAACAAATGAAAAATCTGCTCCGATCAAACGATCCGCCTGAAACAGAGCTTCTTACGATATATAGTATGACGTCACTGGCTTGGTAGAGAGACGCGGCAGAGATGGCGCGGATAACCCGGGTGCCTTAATTGTGTACCTGCATCGTGGAAGACCCCTTGAATGTGGAACGATTCCTAGTCAGTGTCGATGTTTACACTGCTGTGCCTATCACAGATGATCTGGATAGATTCGGGTGATTGTCGATTGCAATGATGGCTTTGGTTGGTTGTTCTTGTTCATTGTATCTCCACGGACGCAGACCCGTTCGCCCCGGTGGTCTAGTGGTATCCTCGTAATCCCCTAGTCGCAGAGGTCGTGAGTCCGAATCCCCGTGGGGTGAAAAATTTACGAAATTCGCGGGTGAAAGCGAAATATAGCTAAAAAGCTCTCGTGAGAATCAAACTTCGACGTTGGCACCGTTGACGAGGGAAAGGGACGGCTGGACCCTTGTCGCGATAATAATAAAAATTCAGCGCGCACCGCAGGAGGAAGGTGGGGCATGAAAATAAATAAAAAAGAAGAAAAAACCATGGTGTTTACCCCCTCCTGTGTGACCCTGGATGGTTGTAATTGTACGAAAAAATACACTGAAAAGTGTAGTACACGTCTCACCACGAAAAATGGGAGGACTGTCGCCATAATAAAAAGGACGAAAACACACAACACATTCTGACAGCACTTCAGACAGCAGCTGCATGCCCCGAGCTTGTGTACCATGCACCATGGTGTTGTTATTGTACAGACAGCACTTCAGACAGCAGTACGCTGTAGTCGACAAACATTCATTTTGGTTAAATGCGGGACAAGGGGGGTGATGCTGCTGCTGTTGTCGATTTGTAGTGTGTGGGCATGTAGTTCAGTTGAGCACGCAAACGTGCTGCAGGGATTGTAGGTGTACCTCCTCGGGCTTGTGTACCCTTTTCTTACTAATAGTGTGCGTGTTCTTTAGATCTTCTGATAGCACTTTTGTGACCACGGACCGAGTCTTGGCTAAATTTTGGGATTAGCAACTGACACGAGTTTATGTGAAAAAACAACAACAATTGTCACTGGGGGGTACGTCAGTCACTCGGAATAAATCCCGGAATGATCCTGGGAGATGGTGGCAAAATTTCAGCGGATAGACTATACCAAAAAATTATCTACGTATGTTTGGCCAATACTTCGTTGGGTGGCGGACGCCCTCGCGGGATGCCCTCTCCACTCGGAACGCTTATATTTGCTCATTGTGAGTCAAGTATCCCTGGCTGTGCAAAAGTGGTTGAACAGCGAAACCACACCGCTGCTTGTATGCATGGACTACACCGGATACGATACGAAAAGGTGGTGGTCGCCTTCTCTCCGTGCGCCAACCGCCTCTCCTTCCACATATACGTGCTCCCATCGATAGCGATCACCGAACAAACTCAAAACGCAAAACCCGTCTCCATCACCCTCGTCCTGGCACCTTGGCCTTTCCGTCTGCATCTCACCACATGTCATTCGCGAAGACGGGCCTGCAAGCAATTAGGAAATATTTTCTTCCGTTGAGAAGAAGAGCCGCTTCAACACATCCCGTTTACACCGGTGCCATGAAGATAACTAACCGGTCAGAGCAAGTATTTAGGTGATGCGTATGTCCGCTCTGTATGATATATGGTAAGATAATAAACAAACCGGTCGGAGCAAGTATTCAGGTGATGCATATGTATGCATTGTATGATGTTTTCTGAAGTAAGTAGCGCGCGAATTCTCACGAAAATTGAAGAAACAACACATCTCAGCAGTGGACCCCGTTCTTTAGGGCTAGATCGCCTTTTGGGGACACTTTTTGTCCCCATCTTCTGCACCTGCTTTACCTCGCGAAGAATGGCATGATCATGATCGTCTCCTCCCCTGAACTACTCGACCAAGGGGGTGCCAGGGTACTCGGGGACGACTCTAGTCTAGCATGGATGCTTTGTAAAGTGAAGGAGTATGAGGGTAATGAACAGGTCGAATCGCGGGGCGATTACGCCGCGGGTTCAACAGCGAATTTGCGCAGCGTCTGTCTACCCTTGGGTGGAAAGCACTACTAGGGGCAAGCGCGGAAGCCCACCGTTGATATGAGGCACCGGGCACCCCAGGGCTTGGGTCAGAAGGTCTCGCTTTCCCTCTAGCGAAATATCTTGAAAACCTCCTTTTCGTGCCCCGTTTACCACGCCCGCCAGTTGCTGTCTATTATCCCTATCAAATGTCCCCTCGATAATCGAGGTAACAATTGATAGGGGTTATAAATAAGAGACGGCTCAAAATGGGAAGGCAGCTTTGCACTTGCACCCAGGGATAGAACTGTCTGCACCATCCAATCAGCAGGCGTCGTTCGCACTTTTTCTTACATTGCACAAATTTTGCAAGAACGCCGAATTTTCTGTGCGTGGCAAGGGTTAACACGAACAGCACAAGAAAGTAACCTGTGCTCCACGGTGGCGACGAAACAACTAGTCTAACCTCGGCACGGGTTTGTCTTTTCTTGAGACTACGGAAGACGGACCCGTTCTTGTACCTCAGAAGAGCCTGTACGTTTCCTCCACTGTTGGTGCCTTGTACAGGGAGGCATGGCACTCAACCGCCTCGCGCGCTGGCGAAGCCCCCTGCCTTCGCCGAATGGCCACAATCCAGGGGTACACTGGGGGCAATATTTTGCCGCGATGGTTTGGCGCCAACTCTTTCCCCTCGCTAGATGCTATTCAGTGCTAGAAGTAACAAAAGTACACACATGACCATGCAGCGAGGTAGGTCGATGCTAACAACAAGGACACACGCGCAACACACAAAAACAACAGGATCGATGCGATGACGCGACGGAGGCGGAGCCGATACTGTTGCGAGGGGCGAGGTCGGCGGTGATGACGCCGGTGGCCGTCTTGAGCCGGGCGGTACTGTTCGGGCTCAACAACACGCGCCTCGTCAAGGACGAGCGGCACGCGCGGCTGGTGGATCTCGTGCGCGACAGGTGACGTCGATTTTGAGGTCCGATGTCAACAGGAGGGCGGTAGTTATGTTTTTGTTGGGTTTGCGTTTTTTTCGTAGAGAGGGTGGGCAGTGCATTAGCCATGTTCTCTTTTGTGTTGCGATACTATTTTCCAACATAGAAAACGTAGGTTCCCTGCATCGAGTAGGTCGGTAAGTAGGCTCGTAATTCCCACATCTCTCGTTCCCGCCGGATTCGACACACGATCGGTCATCCCCTGCTGGCCCGGCGGCGGTCGAATCGTCGTTCGAACGAGACCGGACTCCAAGCTGTGTTGTGCTTGCTCTCTTGCAGATAAGGCGTGGTAATTGTTGTGTCTGCGCCCCTGCCATCTCCGCCTTGATGCGAACATCACCGACGCCAGCCACAATCAGTTTCGCGCTCTGTCCCTATGTGAAGCCGCGGACGGGATTACTGGCACACCCTTTATTATGTTCCTGCAGTCCTGGAGGCCCACCGCTGAAAAGTCGCTGGGTCCCGGTACTTCGCCGGCGATCGGGGCGCGTGGTAATGGACGGCAAGGACTAATGAGCGCCCCCTCGTCGTGTCTCGGCAGACCAGAGGGAGAACCGCTCTTGACGGTGGCGAACCACGCGTCGACGCTGGACGACCCCGCGGTGATGGCGGTGCTGCTGCCCTGGGATATCGTGGTCCGGCCGAAGCTGATGCGGTGGTCGATCTGCAGCCAGGAGATTTGCTTCGAGACGAAGGCGATCGCTTCCTTTTTCGGCGCTGGAAAGGTGTGTCTGTGTGTGTGTGTGTGGGTGTTTTCGTTGTTAGCATCAGCGGCGCCAACCGACTGACCAATGAACAGCCGTCAGTGCCAACGGTAAATATCAAGTTTGTGTGTGTGTGTGTGTTTTCTTCAAATAGCATCAACTGTGCAAACGGACTGACGGGTGAAATGCACGATGAAAAACGGAGTAGACTGTGGGAGGCCCCGTAATTTCTGAGTCGACCCCCCACCCACCCCCCCTCTTCTGGGGGACATCCCCTTGTACCATTGGTTTGCAGGATAGTTTCTTGTGCGTGCTAAAGGTTGGTGGAAAGGGGAACGTTTCAGACGGCTGTCTCAAAGGTATCAAAAGAGCGGCACCTGATGCAGTTACGTTAAGTGACATACGATGACACGCCCTGGACCAAAACCGATACTCAAAGCTGGATTGCTCCTCAGCAGAATGGGGGGTAGTGCCGAAAACGGCGGCGGTAGAACCGTCTTGTCGAGAGCTACCCAAAAGACGTGTCGTATGCATCCTGTTCATCGTGCTGAAATAACTAGAGAAATAGAGCTATGAAAATCGGTCCAGGCGGTGGTGTCATATCTTGTGCCGCTAACAGTTGCTGCCTTAGGCATGGCGTCATCTTGTGTACCCCCACGACCGCGGGCAGTGAGTGAACAAACTCCCACGGGGTAGTTGTTATTAATCAACGTGATAATCGTTTCACTAATACGTACCTCGTTAATGTCTTTCTCGCTCAGGTCCTGCCCATCGAGCGCGGCGGCGGGCTCGACCAGAAGCTGCTCTTGAACTTTTCGCGAAAGCTCGCGGCCGGGGGATGGTGCCACATTTTCCCAGAGGGAAAAACCGTCCAGGTGACACATTTTTTTTTTTTTCGTCAAGTGTCACGACATGCATCCCTTGTGCGTGGTCACCCACACTTAGTTGTACGGATGTTCCATTCGGCCTCAACCCCCCTACCCCGATGAGTTGAGTATCGGATCGGTCATTTTTGTTTCACTGAGAATCTTCCTCCAGGGAGATGGAATGGGTTTAGGGCCTTCGTCCTTTTCGTGAGCGGCATTTTCCGTATGGTAGGTGTTTGCTCGGTGCTTACAAACCCCGGTGCATGACTAGCGCCCACGGTAAGCACCGGTTACCTCCAGGGACAAGTAACTGTGAGTCGCTCCCCTCCCCCCCATCTACTCGTCGCGCCGTA